CTAGCCACGATTTATAGTCTCCCGAAAAGCTAGGTAAAGGAATGAGAGGCAATCTAACTCCGCTTAATTCACCTCCATGTTGACTCGAACTACTAGAAGAGCTGTTGGGCTGCCGAGCACTCTTGAAACTGCCCTCTGGACTATGCTTTTTTATCAAAACTTGAGCCCTAGCTTTTAATTGCAAAACCGATTCCTCAAATTCAATTCTGTATGCTAACTCAGGGTCTAAATTTTCCTCAACAAACTCAATTTCCTCTTGAATACCCTGAAATTTAGAGAAAATCTCTTCTAACCTCACAACCCTGTCAGAAAGCTCACACAACTCAACATCACTTAAAGATTTTTTCGATTCTAATTCAGTTAATTTTGTTTCAAAATTAGTTTTCTGAGCCTTACTGACACTGCGAGATTTACGCAATTTTTTAAGGGCTTCCTCAGTCATTTTCAAATAAAGTTATTATTTTTTTTCAATGATAAAAAAAAGAAAACACAAATTGAAAATTGCTATTGCTTGGACGCTGCCCAATCGAATCTACTTAAAAACAAGGGATGCAGGAAAACAGGACTTACCCACTTGCTTTTATCTCAAACCTGGTATCAGGACATTGAATAACAATCACTTCACTCAAAAATTGCACGTCTGCAATCAGTTTTAATGTACTACAAGTCCAAAGTCTACGAAAAAATTGTCCAATTTCACGCTGGTTCACAGTCTATCTGGCGAGCTGGACCAAAAAATGTTTTTCCTTCGATACTAGCGGACTGTATTTTCTTGTTTGGGGGTTTCTTGTTTCTTGCAAGTAAAAAACACACTAACTCAATTTACTTTAACTTTTAATGAACATTGATAATAGTAATTGGGTAATTTACTCGCGATCTCTACAAAAAATAGGTAAAACAGAAAAAATGCGAAGAATAATAATAATGGCGGCGCTCGAAGCTTGTCTTGCCGTTCGTTGTTCTCCTGTAATAATCGGCCGCTCCGATCGTCTTGTCCTTGGCCAAGAATCGTAAACTCTACAGGATTGCTCAATCCCATAAGACAAACGTTCATAAAAACATCGAAGATGGCGTTATGCGAATGACGTCACGCAGTCCTTGATCGGTTTGTGTTTTTTATGACAGTGCACTATCCTTGCATTTTCAAACGTGAAAAATTGTTATTTTGAGGTTATTTCCTTTGAAAACTGTATTTTGTAATTAATTTATTGATTTTAAAATTAGCAGACTTCAAAAGCTTGTGTCCTTGAGGCTTGAGTGGTTGGCTAATTGCTAATTAGAAAGACGAGTTTGTTTGCTTTTGTTTATCAATTAGCCAAACATATTGCCAAAAAGTCAAAAAAACGAAGGGCTGGAGTCAAGCTGGCCCCCGGATTCGTTTCAATGTTTTTTTTGTGTATGAAAATGAGCACAATTCGCATAAATACTGGCACAATTGAGCACAAAACGGGCACAATTGACTACAGTTGAGAAACAGTAGAAAACCAAATGTGGAGTGCCGAGCCGGTTTAATTTTTGCATTTCAATATCAAAATATAAGCGAAACGGGGTTGCAATAGTGTGCTTTATTTTTTACTGACCCTACCTAGGTACTTCTCAATTATTATTCATTCATTTAATAGGTACTAGAACGATTTAATATGCACATTCAAAGTGAGCTTATTTCACAAAGCCAAATAGTGATACCTAATTTAGATTCTCATAATCATATTCCAGAAAAACATTGCAAGTTTCCCATATTTTCCATGCGTTTTCATGGTAAACGCGCCAGTAAAGGAATTTATTTACATATTTATTTATTCACTCTTCACAAACCCTAATTTTTATTAGTAATTACATGCAAAGGAAACTTACAACTAAGTTGATATTTGATTTATAAAAAAAAAGCAAAACAAATGCTTGACTAGGAAATACTAACTAGCAATACACACAAATAAAAGAGCGATGTCCTGATACAACAAATCCAGTATTATAAAACCAGAAAATGCTTGGGGTTTTCGCGAGTATTTTCAGCCACGAGTCTTTTATGCTTACACACATTAAATGAAACTTTAAATTTACACTTATAACACTAGATAAATCCGAATTTACGATAAAATAGTTGTCAGCACAAACTAAACATCATTCGTATCAGCGGCCATCTTGAAAATCCGGCATGCGCGTGACGTCACAGCAATTGTGAACAAATTTAGCCGATTGAGCAATCCTGTAGAGTTTACGATTCTTGGTCCTTGGCTACCGGTGCGACGTCTCTCGGCAATAATCGTTAGCGAATACTGCTGCCTTTTTGATTGGCTGCAAGAAAGAAGGTCGCGTTCCGCGCGTAATATTGTCTATTTGAATTTGAAACGGCGCACAAGCTGTTGTAATTGAAATTATGTCCTTTTGAGTCTTAGTTTACACAACAAATGTCTTCCAAAACGTTCAGTGGCCCCTAAAGATTATTTTCAAAGGTGTCAGCGTCAGCTTGTCTTGAAACCACACTTCAAACTTGACTTTTGAGGTTAAAATTAAATTCGATTATTCACGCGCCAAAATTTGAAGAGCTCCAAGTACAGAAGCGCCCCCTTCTACTCAACTGTCAATATTACATGCCATTGCGAAGGAATATGTCAATGTCAAGTATATTCTAACATAACCTTAAACGACACTGCGGTGAGTTCAAGTAATACGTAAAGTTAGTTTGCTCTTTCAATTCAATCTTAAATTCTGTTTTTTTTTTTAAAGATAATTCCCCATCAAAAATTTAGTAACAATGTTGGCAACACAAGCATTTTCTACATAAAAAATTTGAAAGCATTGACAATTTTACATTGTATTGCCAACATAGTCAATAATCATGCATACAGTTTTGTATATTTTTCGTATGGTTCTCCATTCGTAGGTCGATCGAGTGAACGCCACTGGTATTTTTCTGTTTCTGACTATTCCCTCAACCTTTTCATGTTAGTATAAATTCAATCCCATGTACAGGGTGTCCGAATTTGGATGGTTTTAATGGGAAACGTCAATTTCTGAGCGAGATACAAAAAAATGAACCCCCCACTCCGAGGCTCAAATTTCTTGAAATTTTGATTGGTGCAAACCGCATTTTGATATCTTCAACCGTTTAGCCGCTAGAGGGCGATTCTCGATTTTGAGCAATACTGTGAAATCTTCATAACTTTTTTGTTTATAAAAATAACTGATTTCTGTAAAAACTTCCTAGAAGCACTTTTTCAAGCAGAATTCAGTGACGTTTTTGAGAAAAAAAAATATTTCGGCTTTTGTCATAAGAAACAATGAGTTAGAAAGAGACCTTTCTCAGTTTCCTTACAGATATAAAGTCCTTTTCTTACACATTACTTCTTATGACAAAAACCGAAATATTTTTTTTCACGAAAACTATTAGAGATAAACCTATCGAACTTTATATCATTGAAATCAGAAAAAGCCGAGCTTTCTAATGAGCTATTAATATATAGAGTGTCCTATTGAAAAAAACCAGACTTTGGTCAATATCTCGGAGTTGGGAACAACTAGAAAAAAACTGAGAACGTCACTGAATTCTGCTTGAAAAAGTGCTTTAAGAAAGTTTTTACGGAAATCAATAATTTTCATAAACAAAAAAGTTATGATCGGTTATGATGGTTTCACATTATTGCTCAAAATCGAAAATCGCCCTCTAGCGGCTAAACGGTTGAAGATATCAAAATGCGGTTTGCACCAATCAAAAATTCATGAAATTTGAGCCTCGGAGTGGGGGGTTCATTTTTTTGTATCTTGTTCAGAAATTGATGTTTCCTATTAAAACCATCCAAATTCGGACACCCTGTACAGTTTTTGAATAATCATACAGTTAATTTTTCGATCGACATCTCTAGAGTAGACGCTCGGAGATGCTGAATTGTTTTTTTCTATTTTGGTGTCATATCGAAGTCTTTTCAACACTAAAAGTAGTTTCGAAAAGAAGCTCTTTGTGACACTCCTTTTTTACTTATCGGAGGTTGGTAACACTGGCTGACTGATGGCCATCGAACTGTCATTCGCGATTTTAAAATAGAAGATTTCTATATTTGGCATGTAGTGTTACCAACCTAAACATATGAAATCAGGAAATATGAGAATAAAATTTCCAAGAAAAATTTGTTTTCTTTAATTAAACAATACCAAAATAGAAAAAATAGTATAAAATATTTGTTTCATAAGACATTTTATCGCACTCGCCCTTTAGAAAACTCGCCTCCGGCTCGTTTTCTAATATAGGGCTCGTGCGATAAAATGACGTCTTATGAAACTTGTATTTTAATGTACTATTTTATCACTGTTTTCTCATTAAAAGGAAGAAAGATGAAAGGTGCTCCGAGCGTTCAGTGTTTCAAGTCGAACTCATGACGGGTCGAGATTATAAACAGTACTCACCCCGGGGTGTAAGTACATACCATCGTCACCAAAAGTATCTGGGACACAAATAATGCATAATAATCGTATATTTTTTGATTTTATTCCCTTGAGTTAAAAAAATGTCTCATGAAAATCTGTACCTATTTTTGATATTTTTCTCTTTCTCCCATTTCAAATATTCTCGTCCAAAAATTCCCATGAAAGAGGAAATTTCCAACGAGTTGGCATCACTGATCCCAATGAAGTAGTAAGAAGTTTGGAACGGGCTCAAATCATTACTGAGTTAGTGAGATAGCGCTATTCAGGGAAGAAAATCTCACGGATCTCTAGGAATCTATCATCTATCACTCTAACCTTGGCTGGAAAAAAACGTATTGAGTAGATAGGCAAGGGGCCAATCTGAACCTCACTACTTCATTGAGCCATCCACGATCGCGAGATCTCGTTTCTTTTGCAACTCTACGACGCTCGGTAGACTAGACGTGAACTTCTTACGTGTTAAGACTTTAAGTACGTTTGGCAACATCTCTACCGTTCTTTAGCGTCAAGCTTCTTTCAGCTCTGGAAAAGTACAAAGTACAGTGACTCTATTTGGAAAAAGGGAAGCACGATGCCAGCGCCACGCGACACACGAAAAACTAGAAGAAAAGTGACAATTATTGTTGAAAAGTTTACTCTCTCTTTGTAAATCAGCATGTCGGCATGAGTTTTTAAGATGGATTGTTCAAAAATCTACTAATTTTGATATGTTCTTTCACTTGTGAAAAGGATTTGTTTTTACTCAAAAACCGAAGTATGAAACCCTCAAGTCACTAGGCTATTTATTGTTTTAAATAAAAATTTACAATACTTAATATAGTAAACAATAATAAAACAAAAATATTTGTATAGGGTTCCATGCAAATTTCTTCGCTGTAATTTGTTACTGTTGGTTCATCATTTGATGGTGGCATTTCAAATTTTCGTGTTTCCATAGCTCTGACGATGCCATCAATATAATATCCGATGGGAGAAAACTGAAGAGGCTCTCCAGGTAGGCCCTTTTCAGTTCCGTTGCAGTAACGCTCAGGAATCAAGATACCAACTTGGAAATCGCCGCACATGATTGGACCGCCTTGTTGATTTGCATCACAAAATAACTTTCTCTCGTTCAAGCTGCAGAATTGTCCGTCATTTAACTGAAGGTTCAATTGTTCTGCACACTTCTTCGCTCCAATTATATCCACCGTAGCGCTTTGTTTCCATCCTAAAACGGTGGCTTTTTTACAAGGTGTGTCTGCTAATTTAAACTGCGCAGTGTGCCACTCTGAAGGCCATGATGATTTTGGTGATCTGATGTCTGAAGGTATCAATAGTTTGACAAATGTTAAAGCTGAGCGAGAGTCAGGATATGGTAATTGTATGGATAAGATTGTGATATCGCCATTATTTAACAGCCTTGAGGTTATTTTTTTGCCGCCAAGCATGCTTGCACTAACTGCACCACCAATCGAGGCGGCTGCTATTGCTGCTATAATCGCAGTAATATTGAATCGCTTACTTTGTCGAGCTCGAACCTCCAGATGGGCTTCATATCTCCACGGGCTTAAAACCAATGACTTCGCTGAAGTTAAAACTCGGGTAGGAGATAACAGGGTACCCACAGCTACTCTTTCCTTTGTGTCTTTTCTTACTACTTCTACCAAAAAGTTGACATTTTGGAGCGGCCGTTTTTCTGAAACACTAGGATCATCTCTGGAGCAATATGCAGCAACTGCAATGAGCAATAATACACATTTCCACATACCGATGCGCGTTTTAAACTTCCTTTGAACGAACGATGTGAAGATATCATGACATGTTGATTAACCAGTCTGTCCTGAGTCTGTCAACTTTCACAATATCAATAAGTAAAGTGTGTTTTTTTTTTTAAAGATAAAAGTCAAAATGACAATATGTTGGCAATACAATGTAAAATTGTCAATGCTTTCAAATTTTTTATGTGGAAAAGGCTTGTGTTGCCAACATAGTTACTAAATTTTTGACTTGGGGAATTATCTTTAAAAAAAAACAGACTTTATATCTATGATTGTACCTATACCAAGCGATTTTCTCTCTACCTGAACCCCACCTACGCCCCCAGGTCACACTCCTGTTGTGACGTCCCAGGATGAAACATATAGGGGTTGTGACAATATACTGTTTTGATTTGAAAATTGCTCGAATGTTTTATAGTCGGGCTGTTAGTGTATCCAACCTTTTTTTTTTTTTTTTTTTTTTTCTGCTTTCTTGTCAGAAACCACCACTGTGGTTTGTCGACAAAGCCTCGAACATCACACACAAACCAAATCAAACAAACAAACATCCATGCACCTAGCCGGGATTCGAACCCGAGACCCACTGCATGCAAAGCGAAGACACAACCGCTGAGCTGCTTGGGTCTTTAATTTCAACCTGACGGGTTGCGCTTTTGCACACGTTTAGTACATGTCCTAACGTAACTTTCAAGAAGTGTTGCCACGGTGGCACCACTGCCTGGCGCCTGGGAGGGGCGGTTGCCTACCTCCCAGGCGCAAACTCCAGAATCCATCGTAAATCGGCCCATTGCGTGAGAACCAAGTGTCGGACGATGACGGGAGTGGTCTCGTTGGATTCAGCACATTGGAAAAAATGGAGAGTCGTCATTGATGCACCGCCCACTCCCCCCGCTTGCGACCTGGGATACGAAATACGCGCGAAGTAGGGGCGGGCGTTGCATTGCCGTTCAATTGTCCTAGGACCTTTGTGTTACTTCTCTGAGCGGCCTTCTCCTTCAATTTTTCAGTGGAAGTACATAAGTGTAGCTTCTTTGTCTTAGTAACCTTCTCGCCACATTCAAAGCACACAGGGTCAGTTCCAACTCTTTGAAACGGCGAAGAAATCCGGCGTGTTGGGATGGGTGGCGGGGTTGAAGGAGGAATGTTCTCGTCTCCAACGGACTCCATCAAACCTTTAAGTTTGCTGTTCGAGCACTTAAGATAGCAGCTTGGGTGCCAAACAGCTTGGTTTGATGACAAGTTTGTCTCAATGCCATGATTGCCATAAAGTTGCTCCACATCTATACTGCAAGGCAACTTTCCTAATCGCTGAAATTCGGGTAAATTCCTTCCAGGTAATGCATACCCTCCATCTTTCCTCGCTCGTTTGTTTTCAGAGGGAACGCGAGGATCTTCGTCAATTTGGTCATTTTGACACAGAATGCATAAAGAGCAGTCTATGGTTTCACCACGTTTCCTACTTCTTTGCTCCTTTGCTATCACAACACAAAAATAGCAAACTCGCAATACTATGCAAGGGGGGGGGAAGTGAGGGGTGAACCAATGACGACTCTCCATGTTTTCGAGTTTGCTGAATCTAACGAGACCATCTCCGTCATCGTCCGATACTTGGTTCTCACGCAATGGGCCGATTTACGATGGATTCTGGAGTTTGCGCCTGGGAGGTAGGCAACCGCTCCTCCCAGGCGCCAGGCAGTGTGCAACCGTGGCAACACTTCTTAAAAGTTACCTGAGGACATGTACTAAACGTGTGCAAAGGCACAACCCGTCAGGTTGAAATTAAAGGTTTGCCTAGATATCGTGCACTAACAGCCCCACTATTATTAGTTTTACCTATGTCAAGATTTGGTTGAGTGGTATGCCTTTTTTTTGCATTCCAAAATTATCAATTATCGTTTGCTAGTTATTTTTTTTAGGTGTATATTCAGTGGCGCCCTTGCCATTCTGTACTTAATAAACTCTTGATCCGCCCCTAATAAATATTCGCTGAGCAAACTGAGCATATTATGGGCCTCTTGTTAATTTGTTAACAAAAGGGGTTACACACTCTACTATATACAGAGTGGACAAATTTTATTTTTTTTTATTTTTATTTTTATTTATTCCATTCAACAACATATAATACACAGCAAGAAGATGATGATGAAACAATATGCATATAATGGACGTGAGCGTCTGTGTGAATGCATATTGGGCTCATCAATAAATTTTACAATTAAATTAACCTATAACATAAAAAAAAAAATACATTGACACATAATACCAATAAAGGCCGAGAAGAAAAAAAAGAGAAAAAATTGAAAAAAAACAAATATGTTTTACTGTAATTTAATGAAGCGTTTAATGGTATTTGTGTTATCCCTAATCCATACGTGTAACTGTTTCTTAATCCTACTATATTTTCTGTTTTTATATTGTTCTGGTAACATATTCAATAATTTGGGTGCTATATAAGTAATACATCTTTGTGTCGCACTATAATGCGTAATGGGCAATATAATATTATGATTTGCATTTGCTCTTGTTTGAATGCCATGACTGATAAAATTCTGAAAGTTTTTGCTGGAAATTGAAAATCTTAGGACATTTTTGATATATAGTTGAGCAACAGTGAAAACGCCAGACTCCATGAACAATAGGTCAGATGGGAATTGCTTATGTTTAAACAAAATAACTTTCAATATATATTTTTGTACAATGGTAATGTTCTTCAAAACATCATTGTAAGCGGAACCCCAGCATATTATGCCATAGCTCAAGCAGGATTCAGCTAATGCTTTGTACACTCTTATGATTGTTTTTTTATCTAGTATATTACGTAATTCATAAAATTTGTATATGAGTTTTTTTAGTTTGTTTTTAGCGTAATCAGTATGATGCTGCCATTTCAAGTGATTATCAAAGTAAACACCCAAATATTTAATTTTATTTGCTGATTTGATGTTATCAGAACATTTACAGTCGTTTTTCATATTACAATCAGTGGTGTGCACCCTAAGTACATGCCTGTTTGGTAACCCCCTCGCGCTCATTGAAAAACACATGAAGTTAGTTTTTTTAACATTCACTGTGAGGGAATTCATGTTCATCCATGCCCGAACACTGCACATTGCACTTTCAGCTCTCGAAAAGGTTTCGTCCCAACAAACCCCTTTACATAAAAGAACCGTGTCATCCGCGAAACATACTACTTTTACTTCAGGGATTACATGTGAAAGACTATTAATATATATTAAGAATAGTATGGGTCCAAGCACTGTACCCTGTGGAACACCGCACTTTAGATCTATAATTGAACTTGAAACCGCATCAAGATTAACTCTTTGAGTCCTATTTGTTAGATACGACTCGAATAGCTCAAGCACTCTGCCTCTTATACCACTGTTATATAATTTGTTCAATAAAGTGCGATGATCCACAGTATCGAACGCTTTGGTAAGGTCCAGAAAAACAGCGAGAGGCTTCCAACCATTATCGAAACAATCTACAATGAAAGTGGTGACTTCATTCAAGGCATCATCTGTACCAACCCCCCCCCGTGAAACCATACTGTGACTCTGACAAAACTTTATTTACATACAAAAAATTGCATAATCGCTTTTTAATGCATTTCTCAATAATTTTACAGATGGGGCTAGTGAGTGCAATGGGTCTAAAATTTCATTTTCTGTTAATGGAACACACTTTATTTTAAATAACTTTTATATAGCCCTTTGAAAAAAAAATCCAACGATATAACTACTGGACATGTGTTTGTCTCTTACACCCATGCAAGAATTGCCAACATTAGTGATTAAATTGATTTTATTTAGTAAATTGGAATGTCAACATTTATTGAAAATGAAACCATTCGTGTAATTCTTTCAATGATGATCAGAAAAATATAAATATGATATTAGAAATCTCCTTTATTAGAAAATCAAAAATATAATCCTTGCCACAATCAAAAATACATTGGAATATGGAAGTATACCGAATCCAGTAACAGATTCAGTATTTGTTGTGACTGCGTTTTTATTTTCCATGAAATCCACAACAAAATCGAACATCGATTCCATTGGAACATAATCAACTGATTTGTGATCTCCGCTTGCCCTTGACCTATTCTGACAAGTATTTTTGCCAGTCAGAATTCCCACTTGAAGGTCGCCGCATAAGATCGGCCCATCCCATGGCGTACCGCAATTGGAAAAGTCGCCTCCATTTCCTTTCTGATCGACGAAACATTTCAATTCCAATGGTGTTCCTTTGCTATCTGTAAAAATAACATCAGTTTGGTTAGTTGCTGCTCCAAAATCGAAAGTAGTGAAGCCTTTGCAATGCGGTTTTCTTCCTCGCTTGTTCTGTGACCAAGGCCAATCCGATGGCCATGATGACACACGTGCTCGGTATCTAGGTACAGGCAGTTTTACCAATTTAATGTTTGGCATTATAGAAAAGATGCTTTCTTCTAGCCTAAACACAAATACAAGTTTGGCTTTATTTGGTGGTCCGTTTTTTGATCTCGCTAATAATTTCCCATTGATTACTTCCTCGACACCGGCAATACGGATACTTCGTCTGTTTTTTTGTGTGAATATTTCATGTTTTTCATCATGGTGATTGGTATCTTTCACCACGATGTTTATCACGTCATCGTAGACATTGATTTCATTAACGCTAACATCATATGTTTCTTTATTAATGAAATAATTGGAAATATGATATTCATTGATAACTGTTGATGGTGGCGGTTTTGCGGGAACCGGTTGTTGGGGATACACAATAATTACTGAAGGGTTTTCTACACATTCCTCTACGTGTTCATTAAGTTTATCGATTAATTCCTTGAGCTTGAGCCTAGGACCCATTCCTGTACCATAAAACTCAGAAAATAAAGTACCTGTTCCAAAAATTGTTGGTTTCATTCTATCTCTGGGACTTTCCGCCACTACCACTACATACTCGTCAGAACAAGGCTTTGCTTCTTTTGACTGGCCTTTTGAGCCAAATACAGATATAATTAGTAAAAAAAAAAATTGCCAAAGAACGACGCGCATTTTAAAATACTGACTGTCTTGCCAAAAAATGACATAACATGATATAGAAAATATAAAATAGCAGTGCCATTTTTACGTACAGGCTTGCTGGTACCAAAAATCTAGAAAGTAATCAAATGAGAAAAAATGCATCCATTTCCACGATGGAGAACAATAATAGCAGAGCACCACAACCACATTGGTTCGTACATGAACAATGCTGTATTTAGACCTAAAACTATGTATTAGGAGAATTATTCTTCTCCAAATTGACAGTGGAGAATCGTGTGGTCCTGACGGCATTCCACCAATTCTCCCCATACCTTGCGCATAAGAATAATTGGCCTCAGTTCTTTGCAAACTGCTCTCCTTCACTTACAAGTCGAAACGTTTTCCCGTCTATATGCAAAATGATGGAAACACAATAAAGAGAAGTTAATTGGAAATAGTCTATGGATACCAAGCTGCAGTGGCGGATCCATAGCACCATTCTGGGGGAGGGGGAAGGTAGAGCTTCTCAATCAGTGGCGGCTCGTGGTCTATACTTGAAGGCAGGGATGGGCATCTACGCGTAAATAAAGATTGTCTACGTTTGGTGTAAACAATGCGTAGACAATGTAAACTATGTAATCTATGTAGACAACGTGTAAAATATGTAGACAACGCGTTAAGTATACAATTTTTGACAGTTGACAGCCTTTGCGGTTATATTTCTGTTTTTGCTTTGTTTTGTTTTTTGCTTTGTAAAGTTAATTAAACAGCGATTAATGACGAATTTAATACAATATAAATTTAATGCAATGCAAAATTTCACTCAAATTTCAAATTTTCCGTTGTCTACACTATAGTTTACATTGTCTACATAGTTTACATAGTCTACATGGAGAAAAGTGGATGTAAACAATACGTAGATAACGAGTAGACAAACCGCGTAAAGTAGAATTCATAGTCTACGGCACATCCCTGCCTGAAGGGTTCACACCCAAAGTAGGACCCAGTAGTTGAAGCCCACATGAAGCGAACATGTTGCTGTGGCGTCATGTTGGGGGCGTGGGACCCCCCAATGCTACGAGATTTTTGTCCGACAAATGTGATATCGGTAATATAACATAAAAAACAGTCGATTGGAATCAAAACTACATGTACCATCGTCACCAAAGGTATCTGGGACACAAATAATGCATAATAATCTCCTGGACTAATTCTACTGTCATTCATTTCAATGCATTTAATTCATAGTTTGACAAATATTTGACAATAAAATTTATATAATAGGACAAGAGCTAATGTGATGCTGTCCCAGTTACTTTTGGTGACGATGGTACCATTGTCCAGGAAATTATTATGCATTATTTGTGTCCCAGATACTTTTGGTGACGATGGTACATTGTTCTCAGGGACGTCAGAATGACAACTTCACGAAGAGCTAGCGCGACAATATCCCATCGCTTCTGTTGAAGATATGAACAAAATTGTCCGACTTGGTGTTATGAAGCCGCTTAAGGCTCGCTTTCCTCGGATGCGGGACGGAGACGGAACGCAAGCGTGACGGAGTCATAGCGCTTCCCGGCGTATCGCGCTAGGAAGCTAGTGCTTTCCTCGAAGGCGACGCGACGTGGGCTGTTCGGCAAACCGTGTATGGAAATGGATTCCCAAGATTAGCTATTTTTTATTTTAATAGACATAAAAATAGATAAATTATACAACACAGGATACTGCCTCACTAAATCAATCAATAACTCACTTTGGTCTTCTGTAAAATTCGACATTTTTCAATATAATATTATTCCGTCCATGTTGCGCTCCGTCGAAGTTGCCTGTCGACCGACCGGTGGCGGGATTCCTCTAGCGTCAAAAAAACTGCACTCCGCCGCCGTCGCGCCACCGCTGCTTAAGGCTCGCTTTCCTCGGACGCGGGACGGAGACGGAACGCAAGCGTGACGGAGTCAAAGCGCTTCCCCGGCGTATCGCGCTAGGGAGGTAGTGCTTTCCTCGAAGGCGTAGCGACGTCGGCGATTCTGCAATCCGTGTGTGAAAATGGATTCCGAAGATTTATTATTTTTTATTCTAATAGACGAAATTGATGAAGAGCTTTTCCTCGCTTGTTTTCTGTAGGAATCTCTGATGGTTTTCCATCTGGTTTTGCATTCACCAACTTTAACAAAAAAAATTTGAGGTGTTACAAGCAACAACACACACGTACCATTAGTAATGCAAATAAAATAATTCAAGCGAAAGATCCGAAACAAAAAATCCAAAAAAATAATAGCGTCTATCTGCAACTGGCCATAAATTATCTTCTACTTACCAGGTTTTTGAAGGGCATCACTAATTGCTTTCCAAGCATTTTCTTTAATTGTGTAGTTGAAATAATTTTTGTGCTTTAAATTGTACAGTACAGGATACTGCCTCACTAGGTCGATCAATAATTCACTTTTCTCTTCTGTGAAATTCGACATTTTTACACAGATTTTTATTTATAAATATTATTCCGTCGGTGTTGCGCCCCGTCGAAGTTGCCTCTCGACCGACCAGTGGCGTGATTCCGCTAGCGTCAAAAAAACTGCGCTCCGCCGCCGTCGCGCCTCCGCTGCTTAGGAAAGCACATCTTTATATTTTAATGAGGGCAACGTCTGCGGCACCCGTTCCGTCTCCGTCCCGCTTCCGAGGAAAGCAAGCCTTTAGGAAAGCGCATCTTTGTATTTTTAATGCCGGCAACGTCTGCGGCACCCGTTCCGTCTCCGTCCCGCATCCGAGGAAAGCGAGCCTTTAGGAAGTTTGGCGTGTAGGTACCTACCCTCATGAGTTACAAAATTTTAAGGTCGATGTACTGAGAACTATATGAGATGGGTTTGGTTATTCAGCGCGGAGTTGGAGGTTGGAGTAGAGTGAATAGGAGTTCACCCCTAATACGGTAAAAAGCAATACCCAAACCTAAACTCGAACGGCTGGAGTGCGAATGGAGTCACTCGGAGTGCACGGAGTGAGCAAGCCGAACCCACCTTTGGTAAATCATTAAATTAAGGTTTAAAGTCAACCCCCTATTTTCTGAACCTTGTGTTCAAAAATTCCAAAAAAAATATATGTTTTATGGTTATCGATATACTTTAATCCATAATTTTTTTAAGCAAATTTGACTCGCCATTTTTGAGTTTTATCGCAAAAACTGAAAAAAAAAAGTAGTTTTTCACCATTTATTTCAAAACGAATAGATCTAGTTTCCCATTATTTTTATTACGAACTACTATTGCAATTCTACGCGACATATATTTTTTTCAAATTTTTTGAACTTGTAGTTTTCTCGCTACTGCAAAAATAGTTGGAAATACGCCCGTAGCTACACTGTTTAGAAAAAAATGTTTTTTTTTTTTAAGATAAAAGTCAAAATGACATTATGTTGGCAATACAATGTAAAATTGTCAATGCTTTCAAATTTTTTATGTAGAAAAGGCTTGTGTTGCCAACATAGTTACTAAATTTTTAACTTGGGGAATTATCTTAAAAAAAAAACAGATTTTATGTGACACAGAAAATGTGATTAAAATCAAATTTTTGTTTGTATTTACGACACCAGACACCAGAATTTTTCCACTACGTTTTCCTTTACTATATGACGGAAATAATGGATGTTGTTTTGTATGCAAACTTACAGTTTGGCCGTTTCAAATACCTGACTGCAGATCAGGGTTGGATGAACCCACCGGGATACCGTGAAATCTCCAATAGGCTGATCGGAGTGTGGGCCGAACTTTAGAACAACATCAAGATACCTTCAAACCAAAGTCTAATATCAAACGGACAGCCTCAACATTATGAAAACGCAAAGAACATAATGGTCAATTCAACTTATGACGCACTTGTTGTGTTTGTGTCTTCAAGATGAAGGGATAATAATAATTATAGGTTTAGTTAAACAGGACTTGCTTTATTAAATTGAAGAACTGAAAATGTGTTAAAACGTTTCTATAACTATGACAATGTGTCTGGCTACTTTCACTATTATGAAACTCCTGACAGACATGTAACATTTTATAGTCAAGGCAATGTTCTGCTAATACTAGTTGGTACAGTATAGTCCGACAAATACCATTTTAAAGTCACGTGATACTGGTGGCAAAAAACGTATGTCCATTGATTATGTCGTTGATATCCCCTACAAAAAGCTACTGGTGGTTAATTACTATTGAATTTTAATATATGTTTCTACTAGCATTTTACAAACGCGTTTCTGAAGTAGTATTGACCAATGACATATTGACTAATCGGAGGGCAATTTTAATACTTTCAATTGTTGCGAGACTCACTTTTGTCTCATCTGCTGTCTGTTGTAATACATTCTGAACTTAAACTGGGTACCCGTTTTCTATTTGCTTCTTTTCGAGTTGGAAAAAGGTTAATATAGTCAAAATTATTAGCTGTGTTTGTTCGTTGTATTATTTTCGAAAATAACTTTGACAAACTAATTGTTGACAGTGACGGATTCTATTTCAGGTAAGAATATTATGAACAATAATTAGACACCAATTTTTTTGTCAATTTTACTATCACCGCTGTTTGAGATGTATTTAACAAGGATAGAGAAAAATCACGTGACTTTAGAATGGTATTTGTTGGACTATACCATATGGAGTTATACAACATATTCCTTTTTTTATAAGAGAACAAATAATTTTATAAATGAATTAATGACAAATTTTAACTATCGTCAGTAACAAACCTACGCGGTTTTTTCACTAGCCTGCCACTTCGAGTAAATACTCTAGTCGTCTGTGCTTTTTGAGATGGCGTGTCAGCAATAGAGCAATTTAAATTCGGCGAGTGTAATAAAGTACTTGTACTGGATCTAGGCTGATCTTCAATTGTCGTAGATGGAGCGGATGTATTGGGTTAAATTTTTTTTATTAATAAATGATGCCTATTTCTTCGGTAATCTACACCATCCGGGGTGCGAACTACAAAAGACCTTGGCATTGGACCTTTTTCAGTGACCAAAGCAGGTTCCCAAGATGAGTTGGCAGTCTTTTTATACATGACATT